ACAGGGCCCAGCATGGACCCTTCCCAGACCCCAACCCAGGCCAGCTCCTGGGCATGTGCTCCGAGGGCCAGGCAGGGCTGTTCTTTCCCCCCTCTTCACTGCCCTAAGGCCAAATCCCCAGGAAATGGCCCTACCAATGAGTCCCAGAAGCTTCCCCACTCATCACTGTTCTTCAGAGCAGTTTCCTGGAAGAATTCATTGAATTTCCCAGAAAATTCCCAGAAAATGTTTCTAGTCACCTTCTCTTTCCATAACTGTAATTCCTTACTTTCCATGTGTTGTAATTAGTTTAATGCCCAGTCTTGGAGTACCTGCATTTGACATCTGAAACATTTCTGTGAGGTAAAGACCAAGAAGCCAACAGTTGCCATGGCACGTGCAAGACCACAGAGAGGGTGCAAATGACCTTTTAAAGAGAACCTGGGTAGAAGCAAGAGAGTTGATATCTGCTCCCTTAGCTCTAACTGAATTGGGCAGTTCTCTTTCTTTTTCTGGTCTTGAGTTTTCCCAAGGAAGAAGCAATATTTCACAGCAATCAAGAGGCTGGTGGGTTGAATCAGACCCACAGGGTTCAGATCTCAGCCCTGGCTCTCTCTAGCTCTGTAACTTTGAGAAAGTAACTTATCCAGAGCCTCAGTCTCCTCATCTGTAAAATGGGGATAATGATATTATTTACTACCTAGTGTTGTAATGATAATAGAGTGAGCCAATATATGTGAAGCATAATGCCTTTCATTTCTTGAAATGTCTTAGCTGTGGATGATAAGAAGAAGAAGAGTATGTAAGAGATGGGAGAAGGAGGAGATTGTATGAGATCTCTAGGTGCTAAGCTAAGGTAGCCATCGAGTTCGACAGAGAGAATAAAGCTACTTTTGATATTTCAAAAAATTTAATGGGAATCCCACATCTACTTGTCCACAATAAGCCACAAAGGATAATGAGAAAGGCAACTTTCTTTGCTTTTGGCTGAAATTACATTAACTCCTTTTGGTCAGCTAAAAGACTTTAGAATTAAATAGACTTGCACTCAGCCTCCAGGTAAGGTGTGTGATCTTGAATAAAGAGAGCAACGTCCCCCACAGAGAGATTGACAACACTGAACTTGCTGGGCAGTTGCGAGGACTAAATGAGATAATGTATGGAAAGCACTTCGCATGGGGTCTGTCTGGCACGGAGTCAGTGCTCAGTACATGACAGCCACTGTGGCTAATATCCTTCCTTGGCCTCCCTGGGGTTCAGCTTCTTCATTGGTAAAATTAAAATCATACCACCTGCTTTACTCATTCAACAAATATTTACTGAGCCAAGTACTATGAATACAAAAATGTATTCACCAGACACAGTTCATGACCTCTCAGAGCCCACAGTTTGAAGTTTCTCATTATTCATCCATTCAACAAATATTTTTCCTGAACATTTAGTGTATAACAAGCTGCATAATGGTAGTCAGAGACACAATGGCCAGTAAAACAGATTTAATCCCCATGTATCTGCAGAATTATAGCCTAGAGAAGATGTCATAAAATCAGCTAGCGATATGACTAACATATAGGAGATGTTTGATGGATGAAAGTTATCTAAGTGTTAATCTGAAGCTGTGTATGGGTAACTCTGCGAAAGTTAGCTCCTAAAAATGTTGAAAATTAATGATTTCTTAACACATAAAATTTGTTTTGTAGATAGGGACTTTGTGTGGAAGTGTTGAATCACTGTATAGCACACCTGAAACTAATATTACACAGTATATTAATTAGAATTTAAATAAAAACTTCTTTAAAAAATGATTGATGGTAAAAAAAAATTTAAATTTAAAATGAATAAAATATGAGAGAAGTCCAAAAAATAAAATATTTATTTATTTGTTTGTTTGTTTTTAAAGATTTATTTATTTATTTATTTATTTTCGAGAGAGAGAGCACAAGTGGGAGGGACAGAGGGAAAGAGAATCTGAAGCAGACTCCATACTGAGCATGGAGCCTGATATGGGGTTCAATCTCAGAACCCCAAGATCAGACCTGAGCTGAAACCAAGAGTCAGCTGCTTAAAGGACTGGGCCACCCAGGTGCTCCCCCAAATATAATATTTAATATACATTCAACAAAACATGTAGGATCTGTATGCTGAAAACTACAAAATGCTGATCAAAGAAAACCTAAGTAAATGGAGAGGCATTCTGTGTTCGCAGATTGGGAAGCACAATACAGTGAAGCTGTTACTTCTCCCCAAAGTGATCTATAGGTTTAATGCAATTGCTATCAAAACGCCAGCCAACTGGGTGCCTGGGTGGCTCAGTTGGTTAAGCATGCGCCTTCAGCTCAGGTCATGATTTCAGGGTCCTGGGATGAAGCCCTGCTCAATGGGGAGGCTGCTTCTCCCTCTCCCTCTGTCCCTCCTCCCACTCATGCTTTCTCTCTCTATCTCTCTCCCATAAATAAATAAAATCTTTTTTTAAAAATCCAGAAAGCTTTTTTTTGTGTAGGTCTAGACAAACTTGTTCTAAAGTTTATATAGAAAAACATAGGCTCTAGAAGTGCTGAGACAACCTTGACAAAGAAGAACAAAGTGGGAGAAATCTCTCTACTCAATATTTAGTCTCACTGTGTAGTGACGGTAACGAATACAATGTGGTATTGGTGCAGGCTAGATACATAAATCAATGAAACAGAACAGAGAACCCAGAAATAGACCCAAACAAATATGTGCAATTAGTTTTTTAAAAAAGTGTAAAACCAATTCAAAAGAAGAAGGATAACATTTTCAACAAAGGGTGCCAGAGCAATTAGACATCCATAGGCAAAAACAACAACAGTAAAAAAACCTTGATCCCAACCTCACATCTTATATAAAAATTAACTCCATTTTTAGACTGTGCTGTAAGACATAAAACTATAAATATTTTTAAAATAGGAGAAAATCTTCTGTTTCTAGGGTTAGACAAAGAGTTCTTAGCCTTAACACACACAAAAAAAACATGATTCATAAAAGAAAAATTGATAAGTTGGACCTCATTAGAGTTAAAAACTTAGTCTCTGCAAAAGTCCGTGTGAAGAGGATGAAAGGGAAAACTACAGACCAGGAGAAAATATTTGCAAACCAAACATTCAAAAAGGACTAGTATCTGGCACATACAAAGAACTCTCAAAAACTGAAGTATAAAAAAAACCAATTCAGTTAGAAAATGGACAGGAGGGGCTCCTGGGTGGCTCAGTCGGTTGAGCATCCAATTCTTGGTTTCAGCTCTGGTTATGATCTCAGGGTCGTGGGATCAAGCCCCACATCAGGCTCCAGGCTCAGTGGGAGTCTGCTTGGATATTCTCTCTCTCTACCCCTTCCCCCATGCACATGCTCTCTCTCTCTCTCAAATAAATCTTTTAAAAAGGAAAAGAAAAAAAAGAAAATGGGCAGAAAACATGGGAGGAAATTTCACTGAGAAGGAGATAGAGATGGCAAGTAAGCTCATGAGAAAGGTTCGACATCATTAACTATCAGGAAAATGCAAAATAAAACCACAATGAGATATCACCATATGCCTACCAAAATGTCTAAAATAAAAAGTAATGAAAACTCCAAGTGCTGGCAAGGAGGAGGAGAAACTGTATTGCTCATACTTTGCTGATGGGAACGTGAAATGGTATAGCCATTCAAGAAAACGGTTTGACAGTTTCTTAACAAAACTATTATGCCACTACCATAAAACTCAGCAATTTCCATCTTGGACATCCCAGAGAAATGAAAACTTAGGTTCACACAAAAACTATACAAGAATATCTGTATCAGCTTTATTCATAAAAGCCAATAACCAGAAATAGCCCAGAGGACCTTCAGCCGGGAAATTGTTAAACAAACTGTGTACATACATGCCATGGATTACAATGTGGCAATAAAGAGAGACAAACTCTACCCATACACTCAACAATCTGGATGAATCTCCGCAAAATTACGCTAAGTGGAAAAAAAAAAAAAAAAAATATCCAAAGTCTGTATACTATTTGTATAACATTTGTGAAAAGATCAAATTTTAGAAATGGAGAACAGATTTACCCTTGCCGGGAGTTAGGGACAGTAGAGAAGAGGGGACAGAGGGAGGGCAGGGCATTGGGTATCCAAGGGTGACACAAAAACCCTCTGGCTTGGGAGTTCTTCTGTATCTTGACTATAGCAACGGATGCACAAACCTACACAAGTAACAAGTACTTAGAATTAAATACACATCCACGAATGAGGACAAGGGAAACAGGAGCGATCAGAACAAGACTGATAGATTGCACCAGTGGCAAATCCTCGTTGTAATACTATATCACAGGGGACGCAAGATGTTACCGCTGGGGAAAAGTAGGACTAAGGTACACTGGATCTCCTGGATTATTTCTTACTACTGCATGTGTATTTACAACCACCTCAATAAAAATTTCAACTAAAAATGTTACTGTTTTATATTTTATTTTTTTAAAGATTTTATTTATTTATTTATTTATTTATTTATTTGACACAGAGAGAGACAGCAAGAGAGGGAACACAAGCAGAGGAAGCTGGAGAGGGAGAAGCAGGCTTCCCGCCAAGCAGGGAGCCCGACGTGGGGCTCGATCCCAGGACCCTGGGATCGGGACCTGAGCTGAAGGCAGACGCTTAATGACTGAGCCACCCAGGCACCCTGCTTGGTATTTTAAAACCTTTCATTTTGCTAAATATTTGAAGATATAGAAGTACAAAAGAGCAGAAAAATCATCATCCTGAATATAATATTTTGATGCACTTTTTTTCAGGCCTTTTTTTTTTACATTTATATGAAACAAACAAACAACAACAACAAAAACTGTGAGGGACTGGAATAAAAATCAGGGTGATGACAAGGTGGGGGCCTTGCTGTCTCCCACCTTCTGTGACATCAGAACTCAGTGTTTGAGGTATGCCTGGTGACCAGAGCCCAGGAAGGAGGAATGTACTCGTCTGCCTGCCAGGTGGGGTTACCTTGTTCCACCCAGACAGCCTGATCTGAGGCCATGGTGATCCAACAGGTGGGCAGCAGGAGGCAAGTGGCAGCTGAGCTGTTTGAAAGGAGAAGGGGTAGTCGCTGTGAGGACAAGAAACAGGTAAGGCCAGACCCGATGTATGCTGCTGTCCTCCCATCGGGGCTCCCTCTGCCACTGCAGACAGACTGTGAGGCCCTCAAAGTCACAAGAGGCCTTCAGTCCAACTTTGCCTGGAGCCCGAGCTGGTGGGACACAGCATGAATGCTTCGGGGCTTCTTCCCCAAAGCCATTGCTGACTGACTCTCTTATTTCATCCCAGCAATCCCAGTAGAATGCATGCTGGGGCAGGGCTGGGGGGTGGGTGAGGGGGACCTGGATTGTTTGTTTAATTTCCTACTACGGCCCTACTGCCTATGATGGTGCTTGGTGCGTAATAGTGGCTGAATGAATGAATGAACGAATAAACTGAAATAAATAGGATACAGCTGAATTGTAGAGCCCCTGGAGTATCTGTCTTAGGGCTCAGATTCAAACCGCACACAGAATTTTGTCAGAATGGGAAATGTCATCACTTACAATGCACAGCCCAGTGCTTCCATCCCCTCTTCTCTTTCACAATACAACATACCCAGGAGGCGCTATTAACAACCTCGTTCACAGATGGATAAACCAAAGCTCAGAAAAACAAAAAGGCCACATAGCCAGGACCTACCAGAATTTGAAATCAGGTGCCTCTGATTCCAGAATCCCTAACAAGCTTACTCTGAACTCCACTGCCTCCCAGGTGCAGAAGGGAGGGAGGCATGTAAAGAAGGCTGGGAAGGTCACCTAGACCTTGCACACCATGGAAAGAGATAGGACTTTATTCTGAGATTAGTAAGGGGCCATTGAGGGGTTTTAAGCAGAGCAATGGATGACTGATCTCTATACGTTTCCAAAAGATTTGTTCACTTGTTCATTTGATATACATGCCCCAATTCCTCCTTTGTGCTGGACCTCACAGCAAGATGGGGGCCTTGCGGGGCTCCCCAAAAGGGCTGCACCTTTTCCTAAAAAAGGAGTTCCATAAATACCAAACCCCAGGAAGGCTCTTTTGAGAAAAATCCCCAAAAAAGTTCTGTAGTTCAAGAAATGCCGATACTCTTGTACACACACAAACACACACACACACACACACCCCACTTGGAGATTTACACTGCTCATTCACATAATGAAGGCTCTGAGAAGTTCTGTAGCAAGGGTTTCACCTCACTTTGTTAACCACAGCATTTCCCAAATCAATCGAATACAGAGTCCCCGCTTTTCTTTTTGAAAGACCTTTCAGCATATTTCAAAATCCATTTTACAGATGAAGCAATTGAGGCTCAGAGAAAAGAAAATGATTTGGCTCAGGCCCCAGGACAGCACAAGGAGAAGAACTAAAAACCTAATTCTGCCCCTATTTCCCCCTTTGCCACCCCCACACACAGTATAAAACACAAACCCAGCAGCAAGTTTGCTAGGGAAGACATTATCCTGTAAAGGACACGGACAGAGGGGTTGTTAAAGAAATAGCATTCACCGTGGAACACTTAACAGCCGTTATAAAGAACAAAACAGTTCTGTGAGTCTGATGTGAAAAGATTCCCAGGGAATATTGTTAAGAAAAAAAAAAGTGCCCTAAACTTAAGTGTACAATACAAGGATCTTTACACCGGGTATACACACCTTGGCAGTCACCGTCCTCCCCCACCACCCATGTCAAGCTTTGGAACATTCCCAGTGCCCCAGAAGCCTCCTTTAGGCCCCTCCCAGCTCTTCTCCCCCACATAACCTTGATTCCTGAGCTCAGTCATCATAGATGAGTTTTGTACTTTCTTGAATTTCACGTGAACAGAATCAGCGTGTGCCTTTATGCCCGGCTTCATTCATTCATCCGTGTATCTGTAAGACTCCACCAGACTGCTGCTTTGGAATTTATTTTTATTTTTAAAGTTAATGATATATTATAATATATAATATTATAGCTGCTAGTATCCATATAGAAAACCATCTGCGGGAGAAGCAAATTAGGCAAATCTTGTAACTTCTTTGTGGGGCTAGCAGCTCTAAATCCTGCTTCACAAACTTAGGTAAGTAAGAAATGTGTTATTTCAAGTCAAATTAAATCAGACTCAAACGGCATCTAGTGAGATGGGGAAAATTCAGCGTCAGTCAATACTGTGTGTGCCTTAATCCTTTGTCTACTTTCGCTCGCCCCTGACACTGTCACTCTCCCTACTCACACTGTCTGTTGAAAATAGGCTTCTCTGAATTTGTTGTGCTAAGACCTGCCCAGACACACCGCCGAGTGTGGGGGCCAGGCCCCTCCCAGACTCCGACTGTCCTTCTCTCTTCTCCCACCTCTCTAAGAGACTCCTTTGCCCTCTCTTAATCCTGGAACATCCACCCAAATCTCCTAAATGATCTTGGACTGACCCAGGCACCAGTGAGCAATGTTGTCTCCAGGCAACTCCTTCCCTCCATCCTGCCTCAAAACGCTGCGATGGGACTTCGCAGGAACTGGGGCCAGGCTAGCCGTCCTATTGGAGCAACCACAAAATTAATGACATAGATGAGGCAGCCACTCAGGTGAGGGCCACCAGGCAGCACAAGAATGCCATCCTGGAGGAGAGGAAGACTCGTGCTAGCCTCCACTCTTCCCCAGTGGCTGCTGCACTAAGAGGTAGAGGCCACGCAGGGCACCACAGTCCTGCTAGGCTGCAAAGTGGAGGGGGCAGCTAAGGCACTGGACTCTGTAGGAAGAGGTGATGGAGAGAGCCGCGCACCCAAGGGGTTCCCCAGGACTCCTTCCCAGACGGCTGGGATGTGCACGCAAAGGGTGGATTAGCCACTCTCACCAGAGTGGCGGCTCTGCGGTTGAGAGCAGAGCAGAGATCCTGGAAATCCAGCAGCACTGGAGGTGGCTGGAATGCCCGCCCAGCCAGAACAGAGGAACTCCTTAACACTCGGGCATCTGTTTGAGAGCACACATATACAGACATGTGCACACACCTGTGCACACACATATACAGACATGTATGTGTATATATGCATGCACACACCCATATACATACATACATTTGGGGAAAAAAGGAAACCTTTAGAAGCAATGGCCAGGAGTGCCTGGGTGGCTCAGGTGGTTAAGCGTCCGGCTTTGGCTCAGGTCATGATCCCAGGAGCCTGGGATTGAGCCCCACATCTGCTCCCTGCTCAGCGGCGAGTCTGCTTCTCCCTCTACCTCAGCTCATGTTCTCTCTCTGTCAAAAAAAAGAATTTAAAAAAAAATCTAAAAAAAAAGAGCAGCTGCAGCATTGGCCAAAGTTTCCAAATTAAGAAGGAAATAAAGGAGAATTAAATTCAATGATAGAAAGAAGAAACAATAAAGATAAAATCAGAATTAATGAAATAGAAAATGAAAATAATAAATAAAATTCATAAACCTTTTCTTTGAAAAGATTCATTGGTGGGGCACCTGGGTGGCTCAGTGGGTTAAAGCCTCTGCCTTCGGCTCAGGTCATGATCCCAGGGTCCTGGGATCGAGCCCCACATCAGGCTCTCTGCTCAGCTGGGAGCCTGCTTCCTCTCTCTCTGCCTGCCTCTCTGCCTACTTGTGATCTCTGTCTGTCAAATAAATAAATAAAATCTTTAAAAAAAATTCATTGGTAAATTTTCAATGGAAATTGAATGAATTTGATGAAATTAAATGAATTCAATGGAAAAATTGGTAAATTTTTCAGTCTAACTTTTTTTAAAAAGAGAACACAGATTACCAATATCAAGGATAAAAAGGAACGATCACAATACCTCCCATAGACATTAAAAGGATATGAAGATAATACAAGGAATGACTGGACGCCAATGCCCTTGCTAACTTAGGTGAAATGAAACTTCTTGGACAACACAATTTACACAAGTGACTCAAGAAGAAATAGAAAGTCCAGATGACTACAAGCCCAAAATATTTCACCCATAAATTCTATCAATCATGTGACAGAGAAAGAGAGAATACCAATCTCACACAAATTCCTTCATAAAACAGAGGCAGAGGAAATACACCCTGACTCAATTTTCGAAGGGCAACATAACCTTGACTCTAAAACTCCACATACAGAAAAATATCTGGTGTCTCCATGAATGTAGTTGAAAAGAACAATCTCCACGAACAGTAGCAAATGAGCCCAGCCATACAGAAAAAGGCGAATGCATCATGAACAAAGCTTCCTGAAGGAGCCTGGGTTGGTCAGGTATTCAAGTCAATCCACGCAACTGAGTGCAGGCTCAGCCGGAAAAGGGCAGCACTCAGCCTCTCAGTGGAGAAAGGAAGCCCGTTTCACTATTTCAGTGCTCATTCTTGGTAAAATTCTTGGAATGGTAGGAACAGAAGGCAGAAGGTCTTCAAGCTGAGAAAGGACAACAAGGACAAAGCTACAGTTACCTCGACCCCGTGCTGAGCACTCACACCCCGTCCCCCCAAGACACAGCACAAGATGAGAACGTTCGCTTTCGCCACTTACTGGTATTTTACTAGCGATTCTAGTCAATATACTAGGGAAAAGAAATAAAGCATAGAAAGGTTGAAGTAAGACTTCTTCCCAGACAGCACAATTTTTATATACAAAATCCTAAACTCCATCAGATAAAAAAGGAAGAATTAGGTCATAAGACAAAATCAATTGTGTTTCTATAGTCCAGCAACAAACAACTAGAAAATGAAAATTCAAAAATGATACTATTCATAATAGCATCAAAACCCATAAAATACTTCAGAAAGATGAGCATGGCCTCTACACTTGAAAATGATGAAACATTGCTAAAAATAACCAAAGACCATGAGAGACTATAGACTCTGAAAAACAATCTGAGGGTTTTGAAGGGGCAGGGGTTGGGAGGTTGGGGGAGCCAGGTGGTGGGTATTATGGATGGCACATATGGCATGGAGTACTGGGTGTGGTGCATAAACAATGAATTCTGTTACGCTGAAAAGAAATTAATAAAAAAAAAGAAATAAAATAAAATAAAATAAAATAACCAAAGACAATGTAATGGAGAGATCGATCATGATCACGGATTACAAGGTATGATATTTTAGAGACATTCTCTCTCACCAAATTGAACCACAGTTCAAATGTAATACTAATCAAAATCCCAACAGGTTTGGTTTTTTGTTTTTTGGGGTTTTTTTGTAGCAACTGAAAAGGTTGATATATACATATATATGTGGAGATGCAAAGGATCTAGGGTAGTCAGAACAAATTTGAACAAATTTGTTAGGAACAAAGCTAAAAAAAATAAACTCACACTATCTGATTTCAAGTGTTACCGTGAAGCTGTATGGCCATCTAGCTAGTATGGCATTGACATATGATAGAGAAAGGAATGGGACAGCAGAGTGCCGGTGAAGCTATTACAGATCGAATTGTGACCTCCAAAATTCACATGTGGAAGCCCCAACCCTCAATGTGACTGTATTTGGAAATAATTAAGGTTAAATGAGGTCATAAAGGGTGGGGCTCTACTCCAATAGCACTGATGTCCTTATAAGAAGAGATACACCAGGGATGCACAGAGAAAAGGCCATGTGAGGACACAGAGAAAAGTCAGCCATCCAGAAGCCAAGGAGAGAGGTTTCACCAGAAACCAACCCTGCCTTACACCTTGATCTTGGACTTCTGGTTTCTTAACTGTGAGAGAATTAACGTCTTGGTTTAAGCTACCCAATCTATGGTATTCTGTTACAGCAGCTTCAGAAAACTAATACAGATTTAGCAATGACATAAAGAGTGATATATACAGATCACTGAAACAGAATAGAACCCAGAAGCAGACCCATGTAAATATGGTGGACATATTTTTGACAGAGAGCAATGCAATTCAATGAAAAATTAGGCTTTTTAAACAAATAATTCTAGAACTAGACATTCATATGAGGAAAAGAATCTTGATCCCCTCCTTCATGCCATATACCAAAATTAATTCAAAATGGACCATCTACCTAAGTGGAAAATTAAAACAATAAAATGTAAGGAAGAAAACAGAGGAGAAAAAATCTTCACAACCCTGAGTTAGACAAAATTTTTTAGACTGCACACAAAACGCATAACCATAAAGGAAATATATTTGATGATCTGAACTCCATAAAAATTAAAATCTTTTCACTTCCAAACACCCTGGTAGAAAAATAAAGAGGCAAGCCACAGACCTGGAGAAAACAGTCACAGTGCAAACATCTGACAAAGAATGTATATCCAAAATATACAAAGAACTACTAAAACCTAATAAGGAGACAAATTGCCCAATAAAAAAATGAACAGTTTTTCATAGACATGCCCACAAAGAAAGATATATGAATTATGATCACTCAGCTCATGGAAAGATGCTTAACATCTGCTATGGACTGAATGTTTGTGTCCCCCCTAAATTCATATGTTGAAATCCTAACTCCCAAAGCGATGGTATTGGGAGTTGGGGGTCTTCGGGAGATGATTCATGAGAGTGGAACCCTCATGAGTTGGAGTAGTGCCTTGATAAAAAAAAATTTTTTTTTTAATTAAATTAAATTTTTTTAAAAAAAGAGCCCAAAGATCTCTCTCTCTGCTCTCCACCATGTAAAGACACAATGGAAATGGATGGAACCCAGAAGAGAGCCCTCTCCTGAACCTGACCATGCTGGCCTGCTGTGTCTGAACTTCCAGCCCCTGAACTGTAAGAAATAAATTTCTGTTGTTTATAAGCCATTGGGTCTGTGGTACTTTGTTAGAGCAGCATAAACAGACTAAGACAACATGATTAACCACTGGGGAAGTGCATGGAAAAACTAGATCGCAATACCGCTACACAACCAACAGAACACCTAGAATGAAGAAGATTGCCAGCAGGGACGCGAAGCAACCAGCATTCTTGGGTTGCTGGTAGATATGTAAATTGGTTCAAACCCCTGGAAACCAGTTTGGTGGTTTCTTATCAAATTAAACTTATACCTGCCATATGACCCAGCACTTGCATTTCTGGGGGCTAACTCAAGCAGAATGAGAACATATGTCCTCCCAAACTGTTGTATCCGGGTGTTGTTAGCAGTTTTATTCATGATCGTCTAAAACTAGAAACAGCCAAAAGTCCATCAATATGCACAGAGATAAATTGTGCCATATTCATACACTATATTACTCATCAATAACACTGAATACACAAATATGGAGACATCTCAGAAGCATTATGTTGAGCGAAAGTAGCTAACCACAAAAGACTATGAAGTTCCATTTAGGAAGTTATAGACCAGGCAAAACTACTCCATAGTGAGAATAGTGGATCCTTCTGGTGGGTGAGGGTAAGGAGGGAACGGACTGTAAAAGGGCGTAAGGGAACTTTCTGGGATGCTGGAAATGTCCTTTCTCTTGACTGGGATGGTAGCCCACAGGTGTAGACCTGTCAAAACTCATCAAACTGTACATTTAAAATGTGTGTGTTTTATTGTCTGTGAATTATACCACAATAAAGTTGATTCCATTTAAAGATGATTTAGAGCAAAAATGTGAAAGCGAGGCGGGGAATGAGAACAGAAGTGGGGCTTCTCAGCAGGGAGAAGGGAGGGGAAACACCAGCGGAATGTCACTGGGCTACTTGTTACCTGCTTCTGCGAGGTTTGGGGGTTTTGTAGTAAGCATACATAATGTAGATAACTGGAAAAAAAGTTAAGCTCTAAAAATGATCTTACAGCACTGCTCTCTGAGGGTAGTAGGGATGCCTGCCTGCCCATGAGTCACCTCCTTTCCTCCTCTTCTTGCCACCAGACACTGTTGGCGTTGCTGATCTTGGTGCTGTACATGGGTACAGGAATATCAGGTGAGCGTTCTGGAAGCTGAAAAAGGAGGAGCTAAATCCACCCGGAGTCAGGAGGGGTATCCTGGAGATGGCTGCCCACCAACGGGGCCTCCAAAGCTTACCTTCTCCCCTCTTCACCCACTGGGATGACCAACCATGTTTATCTCAACGACTGCTCATTTGCCCTTGTTAGGAGGTGATGTTTGTGCCTGTTTCAGGAAGAAGTTGGGAGGTATCAGGAAGGATCAGAGAATGTAACTATCCCCAGAATCCTGCGGCTTCCCAGGTAACATATTCAAAAAAGGTGCTGAGGGGATGTCAAGTTTGGCTGAGGAAATCTGGGAAGGCTTCCTAGAGGGTCATGGGCGAGCTGGATGTTGAAGGATAAGTAGGAGTTGGCCAGGCAGAGAAGGTGGGGAGGGGCACTCCAGAGAGAAGGAATAGCATATGCAAAGGCCCAGAAAACTTTTTGAAACCAGTGGCAAGGGCGGGGGGGTCCTAAGTGAAAAAGCTCAAGATGCGACTTTGCTGTCTGCCTTTCAGGGACTTAAATACCAGACCAATGAATCCGCAGAAGAGCCAATAAAGGTCATGAGGACCTGGCTGAAGGAAAATTTGCACGTTTTCTTGGAGAAGCTAGAGAAAGAGGTGCGAGAGCTGGAGCAGCTGGTCCAGGACCTGGAGGAGTGGTTAGATGCTCTTCTGGGAGAGGGGCACCTGGAGGATCCCTGTTCCAACTTCAAAAATCACCTGTGAGGGCCCTGGGCTGGAACCCGGGGAAGACATCAAGGGGAAGCGGGAGGTGGGTGGGGGGAGGGTTGCCAAGGTCTCCTCTAATAAGAGCTGAGCTGTGACACTTGAATGTCATAACAGGCAAGAAAATAAAATAGTTGGGTCACTAAGAATGTTACTGACACCACTGCTGGGTCGTGAACACTGTCAGGAGGACCCCAGGACTCTGCCGAGATATCCTTCTGCCCACTAGAACTCTGGCTCCCTGGGACCCAGCCAGCCTCGGAGTCAGGACCTTCGCCCACTTACCTGAGATATAGTGCAAATTCCCTAACCTCGCAGGCACAAAACTGCGTCATTAGCAAAAACCAGGGAGGGCAGTTTGCCTCGCAGCATTCCAGTGAGGAGCAGACAGGAATATGCAGAGTGTGTCTAGCGTACTGTAGGTGCCTGATACACAGATCTTCCTTCCTTCCATTCCTTTTCCTCCCTCCCTGGAATTTAGCAAGGGGACGCTGGTTCTGGAGGGTATAGAGGTTAGGCGGCAACTCAACTCTCAGACACAGTTGCTAGCAGCATAAATTGCCAAAACTTCTGTGGAGGGTAGCTGGTGATAGCCACCGAATTCACAAATGCATTTACCATTCCACCTGGCAATCTGCTTCAGGGATTTAGCTCATATGAAAAAATATATATGTTTTATCATGTATATAAACTAATAGATAAAATATAAATATAAAATATTTAATATTAATAAATAGAATTATATAATATTTATATAAAATATAAAATAAATATATTTACATAATATATTAACATCATATCTAATTCATCATATATACAAAATATATACTTATATCACGTACATACACATGCATGTGAAATTACGTGTATGTAATGTTACTCTGCTAGCTTCATATATAATAGCAAAGCACAGGACCAGGAGGGCCCAGGTTCAGTTAGTAGAGGTGCACCCAAAAAGTGGATACCCTGTAGCTAGGAAGAGAATGAGGACGCTTTCCTAATAGAGAAGAGTCCACAGGAAAGGCTGTTAAACGAGAGAAATCAAGGCCTAAGAAGAGCACAGGGACAAGAACCTGTATTTTGTTGTTGACGGATGATGACGATGTTACTGAATGTGTAAGAAAACTCTAGAAGGATACAAAATGGGGGAATGAGAGTTGGGGGAGTTGAGAGTGGGCAAATGTATGACCAGGATGAAAGGGAAACTTTTCACACTCTTTTATTTTCAGACTATATGATTGTTTTGCCTATTCAAATCTTTCTAAAAGAAAATTACCCATCATTTTGCTTGCAAGAATACGGTGTATACAAACAAAATTATCGCTGTGATAAAATTATGAGTGACTTAGTTTTTTTAAACAGTGCCAAGAGAAAACCCTCTCTTTGGATTAATTTATTTTGATTAAATGATGATAATTCTTATCTAGGATTTCCCCTTTTTCCCTTGACTTCCAGGAAGTTCAGCGTTTAGTTGACCATGGTGGAAATTACATCAGCCTTACTTTTCTTGGTCTATTCGTCCCTTTCTAGGATTTTTTGTTTTCTATTTTAATGGCGTTATTATATATGTGCCAATCATTAGAACCACCTCAAATCTTTGGAAAGTCAAGGGGTCCAATTCAAATCATCTCATAGAAAATCTGACTGGCGGGGAATGGCACAGAAATTCTGCTTGCTGGAAGGAATTATTCAGTTGCCACTTGAGAAGGAAAAGAGTCTTTGCAAGTTACTGTCACAGTTTTGCCACTTTGAATATGTGTCGGGGGGTGGGGACCAGAATCTGTTTTTCTTGACTGCAGTTTTCTAGCAAGCGTTCTGCAGGAAGATCTGATAAGGATATTTCTTTGCATTTATTTTTACTATTACTATAAAGGCTGTAGTAACATACCCAAAATCATGTACATGTGCTCTGCTGGTACTTAGACTGTTCCTGGGCAGAATTTTGACAGGTTTAGCCTACACACGCTTCAGCCTCTAACCCCCAACTAAGTTGCAATTATATTGCACCTGTAATATTTACCTGTGTGTATTTATGTTTACATATTCTATTATATATATTTATATGTTTTCTTTTATATATATGATATAGTTGTAAATATTTTTTATAAAACATACATGTATATGAAATTTGGGGATGTGTGATTAAAAGAAAACGGACCTAGATCCTTGAGGATTGAAACCACCCCTGTGGTTATTAGCAGAGCCTCTGAGCAGAGGAGTCCCACCCTGAAAGCTCTCAGGCATCACTCCCACACACCTGCACACAGGGCCTGATAGAAACAGCCCGTGCTGGCGTGGGGCTGCAGCCCACTGTTGGTGGTCACTTTCGGGATGTTGCATGTGAGCCTGTAAAAACAGCAAACCACCAATGGCAGCTCACGCAATGAGGGTTTATTGTGGCGCAAGACAGGAGCCAGAATCTCATGGAAATCAAGAGTGTTCCATAACCTGGAATCCTGGAGACTGGAACAGGAAGGTAGTTAAGAACCCAAGGTGTCCACCAAGGTGCTCCAGGAGCTCCCCCCTACGAGAATCTGGGAGATTACCTCTAGCTCTCCACCTTTGCCTTAACTTGGCTACTCCCTGGGTCTCTGCTTCTCTTTGTGTGTCTGCCCGTCTCTTCCTGCTTCCAGTGGCTTCCTTGCCCACCCCCCGCATCAAGCCTTTCTTCAGCTCAGCACTTCTGCCCGTGAGTCCTCCTAACCCTGATTTGCTCCTGCTCCCACAAGGCCTCTCCCTGTCTCATGACCTTCCAAACTTCCAGTGACCATATAATTCTGTCTGCATTTCCCAGATCAAGCTCCAGGGGAGTGAGGGGATGTGATTAACTCATCTTATTGGCTGGAGCCTCCTGTCCTAAGCCAGATCGTGCCACCCAGCCTTTAGACTGGATGACCTTGGCGAGACTACCTCCCCTCAACCCCAGGCTCCAATCAGCTGTGACAGGACGGAGGGGAAGGATCAAGTACTCCAGAATGGAGCTGCCTCATATGAGAAACAGCCTGGGCCCCTTGTTGATGGGCGGCTCTGGACCATGTATAATGACCTCACACTTCCCAAGGTGGTCAGAAATGTGGCAGAGAGAGCAATGGCCATCCTTGAACTGCAGAGCCCCAAGAGTCAGTGTCAGGGAAGCAGAATGGTGTGAGACAAATATCAAAGACAGAATATAATTGCTGAGTATGAGGTGGGGTGGGCTTGACCACTAGAGTCACCAGAGTCAACCAGAGTCAACACAGGTGAGTGGGTCAGCCTAATCTGGGAATATGTCATTCCTTCCCCAGTTCCTGCCTATAAAAAAGACAAATGACACACTTAAAAAGATTATGGAGGCGCCTGGGTGGCTCAGTGGGTTAAAGCCTCTGCCTTAGGCTCAGGTCATGATTCCAGGGTCCTGGGATCCAGCCCCGCATTGGGCTCTCTGCTCCACAGGGAGCTTGCTTCCTCCTCTCTCTCTATGCCTGCCTCTCTGCCAACTTGTGATCTCTGTCTGTCAAACAAATAAATAAAATCTTAAAAAAAAAAAAAAAAGAATATTATGGGGGTGTCCAGGTGGCTCAGGCAGTTAAACGTCCCACTCTTGATTTTGGCTCAGGTCATGAATGATCTCAGGGGCTTGGGATTGAGCCCGGCATCAGGCTTCACACACAGGGTGGAGTCTGCTCCAGATTCTCTCTCTCCTTCTCCCTCTGTCCCTCCTGCTGCTCGCTCTCTCTCGCTCTCTCTCACTCTCAGATAAATAAATAGAGTGTGACTACCTTTAATGACTTTAATGACATTTGAATGAGTTAGACAAAAATGTTGCCCAGTAGATCTATTAAAGGGTCCTCTTTCATATTATAGAGTGGGCTTCCCTCTAAGAGAGAAAATGTCTTTTACTTGAGAAGACAACTATTTCCAGCTCCTTCCATTCAATCAAGAATAACAATGCCAGCAGAGCAGGATCTTCCTACCCTCCATCCCAATCCTCAACCCAACCCTCTTCCAACAACAACCAGTTCCTCCTGATTCTGGTCTTGCAAGGCCAGGCTTCCCAGCCACCGAAGACTACTTTAAGTAGAAAAGAGAGTGGTGCCTGGCTGGCTAAGTTGTTTAAGCATCTGCCTTCAGCTCAGGTCATGATCCCCGGTGTCCCAGGATCGAGCCCCGCATCAGGCTCCCTGCTCGGCTGGGAGTCTTCTCCCTCTCCCTCTGCCCTACCCCCTGCCCTGGCTCATACTCGCTCTCTCTCTCTTTCTCTCTCAAATAAATAAATTTTAAAAATAGAAAAGAGAAATTGAATTTAAAAATCAGGAGTCAAAATTTTAAAAAAAGAAAGACTGGGCTATGCATGTGCCAGCCACTGGTGAATGAGAAGTTTACAGGCTAATAGGAAAAACAAGCAGAAAAGTCAAGACGAGGCAATTTCAGAGAATGATAAATGTATGAGTAGAAACGAGGAAACCACTTAGCAAGCCACTGTGGTTTTCCAGGTGGAAACAGAGGCTTGGAGTGGGGAAGAGGTGCAGAGAAGCAGAATTCAGTTTCAAAACATCATCTGCAGGACCTGCTGATGGAGAAGAATAAGGAAGAAGGGTCCAGAAGTTTGTCTGCCCGGCCCCAGGACACTGTCTCTCTTCAGTGCAGGGCAACCTGAGCCATGATTTCAGGTCCTGACCCAAGATGCTGTCGAGGACTCTGTGGAAGAGACAAGCGTGGTCTTTCTTGTTAAGGGAAAAGTGGCCGGTTGGAAAAATATCCTGACCACTCAATTATCTCCATTTCTTTGTTTCAGGCACCTGGAGCATGAGATCAGCACCGCAAACAATTAAAAATTTTAATTAATTTTAATTGATGGTTTTCTCCCCATCCCTCTTTTACTTAATAGATCTATCTGGCAGCCTTCCTGATGCTCCCTCAGGCTCTTCTCTTTTGCTAACACTGATTCATTCTATGTTTTTCTTTGTCTGTTTTATTGCTTTGGATTAGCTTCTTTTTTGTGCCTCCAATTTATATAATGG